ACCTTTGCTTTGTATTTCCTTATGTGCAAGTATCTGCAATGGACCCTTCACCAGAACCTACACCTCAGATTAGTTTTCGAATTTTCACTGTAAACCAAAGAGACATTTGACATTGTGTACCCTCAAGAAAATGTTCTGAAGAACATTTAATCTACCATTAAAATCTTTACCCTATAGTGTAAATTCTTTTCATTTTTTTATTTCACAGCCCATTTCCTTTTAGAGAATGTCATGTCAATTCTTTATGGAAGAATTAAATTGAGATAAAGTATATGTATTAGCTATAATTCTTATACATTCATGGTGATCATGAACATAGTAGAATAAGTTCTAAGATAATAAATTACTATAACCTGCATATGAAGACATTGTGAAAATCTTACAGAATCCACATTTAAGAAGTAAGTAAAGTCATATCTGAACAAATGGAAAGATTAGTTAAGCAGTAAAAATGCTTTTTTTTTTTTGAGACATTCTCACTTTGTTGCCCAGGCTAGAGTGAGTTCCGTGGCGTCAGCCTAGCTCACAGCAACCTCAATCTCCTGGGCTCAAGTAATCCTACTGCCTCAGCCTCCCGAGTAGCTGGGACTACAGGTATGTGCCACCATGCCTGGCTAATTTTTTGTATATATATTTTTAGTTGGTCAATTAATTTCTTTCTATTTTTAGTAGAGACGGGGTCTCGCTGAGGCTGGTTTCGAACTCCTGACCTTGAGTGATAAAAATGCTATTAACTGCCTAACAATTGGGCCTATAACATTAAATAACTTCTTTGAATGAATTTTTCTTCTTATAACAGACACAATCATAGTGACTTTCAAGTAATATATTTGGACTGTTTGGCATCTTAAAAAGTTCAAGTTTCTTTTTTTTTCTTAATTTTAATTAAAAAAAATTTTTTTTCTTTAGAGACTGGGGTCTTACTCTTGTTCAGGCTGGTTTCGAACTTCTGAGTTTAAGCAATCTTCCTGCCTCAGCCTCCCAGAGGGCTTGGATTACTGGGGTAAGCCACTGTGCCCAGCCAAAAAGTGCAAATTTTCTTACAGTAAGGTCTCCCTAGGAAAGTTTGTCTTCAAGTGGTTTTACTGTTGAGTATTTACAAAATGATTCTGAAAATTACCACTACCGTTTTTAGTTTAGTATTGCTATTACCCTTTCATGATTCAGTCTCTAAAGATCTGCTATGTTAATATCATTACCATAAACAAGTACGAACTGCGGTGCAAATCTCAGGACGAGTCAGGGCATCGTGCATCATATTTCTTTTGCAACATGAAAGACAGAGAAACTGAGAGAAATATGGAACAGAGAGAATTAAGCTGAGAGTATGTAAGATTTGAATAGAAGAAAATGAGGCAGATCCAGAAAAGTAAATGTGCACATTGACCAAGCAGATCTCCTGAGTCAGACGGTGACAGACAAGACAGGGATAGCTACCCATCTCATTACTCAGATTTGCACTGAGAGAAAAGCCGATGCCACCACCCCTGAGGAGACCACCTCTTACCTGTCCATGGCGGTCTCCAGAGTGTCTTTCTTGGCTCCCTGAAAGTCTGAGACCAAGAAAATCTTGCTTCAATCAATGCTTCTTCACTGCCTCTGTCCGACAGTGCATTGGCCCCTCACATTCAAATATGGGCTCCTCCCCTGACAGCATCACCACCACCAGGTACCCCCACAGCCTGGCTCCTGATTTGGGTCCAGTGAAGATGGGCGGGGTTGTCACAGGCAGAGTCACATGGGTTAAAGGGTGGAGGCAGCTCTGCTTAGGGTTCAGGTCTCTTCAGGGCTGCTGCTTTAAATCCCCAGTCCATGCTCCACAGGTAGCAAAGATCAAGAGGCAGCAGGCTCTTAGACTCTAATCATGATAACACAGAATATCTTTAACTAAAAGCATATTAATAATGACAATAGTAATATTTATTTAAATAGCATTAAATATCATGTAAGTAGCATCTTGTGGTCTATGAGCTGAAAGCATCTATTCCCTCATTTAATGTCACAGTATCTCTGCACCTCAATAGAGACAGGCTCTCATAGCACCTGTTTTGTGGCTAAGTAAACTCAATTACGTAGGACATAGGACCCAGAAATTTTGCCTCCCAAACCATTGATTTTTTTTTGTTCCAATTGCATTACAAAAGTTGCTAGAACACTAGATGTTTATACCAAAGGGTAATTATTGCATGAGCCATCTTTTTTATTTAAAAAAATCTTTTAAAGAAAACCAGGTAAGATACAAAATATTTTAAAAAGAAAAACAAATTCAAGCCAGGCACAGCAGCTCGCCCCTGTGACCCTAGCAACTTGGAAGGCTGAGGCAGGAGGGTTACTGGAGGTCAGAAGTTTGAGACCAGACTGGGCAACATAGTGGGACCCTGTCTCTTAAAAAACTATCTTTAATTTGGAGTCAGAAGCAGCAGCAGTCCCCAAAATACAAAAATGCTTATTTCACCAGACAGAATCAGCGACTGAATGACTGCATGGAACTTGGAAACTAGGCTGGGATTGTCAAATAAGAGACTTTAAGTTCCTGCCCTCATCAACCTGATCTATTAAAGATTTTATTTCTCCCTCCTACTGCAGTCCACATGCATTTCATTTATTCATTCAGTAGATACATACTTAATACCAGCCAGGTGCAGTGGCTCATGCCTGTAATCCTAGCACTCCGGGAGGCCGAGGCAGGAGGATCACTTGAGCCAGAAATTTGAGGTTGCAGCGAAGCTATGATGACACCACTGCACTCTAGCTGGGGTGACAGAGCAAGAGTCTGTCTCCAAAAAAAAAAAAGACAGAAAAAGATACTCAATACCTACTATGTGATAGAAGCTATGGCAGCTGCTGGGGACGCACCAATGAGCAAAGCAGCCAGGGGCTCTGCTCTCTTGCTACCTCAAGGCCTTAAACACCGTCTCTGCCTCGATAAATAGCTCCAGCGTGGACCTCTCCCTTGAGCTCAAGGCAAGTATGTCCAACTTCCCTTCCAGCATCTCTGTTTGGATGTTTGAGCATCTCAAGCCTGTCTAAAAGCCGCTGCCCTCTCTCCCAACACATAACCTGCTCCCCTTGCCCTCTTCCCCATGTTGGTAAACGGCAATATCATTCTTCCAATTGCTCAGAATAAAAACTTGCGTGGAGTCTTTCTCTTTTAAATTCCTTGCACAGTCCATTAGCAAATCCTGTTGGCTCTACTTCCAGAATATATCCAGGAGGCCGGGCGCGGTGGCTCACGCCTGTAATCCTAGCACTCTGGGAGGCCGAGGCGGGCGGATTGCTCGAGGTCAGGAGTTCAAAACCTGCCTGAGGCCGGGCGCTGTGGCTCACGCCTGTAATCCTAGCTCTTGGGAGGCCGAGGCGGGCGGATTGCTCAAGGTCAGGAGTTCAAAACCAGCCTGAGCAAGAGCGAGACCCCGTCTCTACTATAAATAGAAAGAAATTAATTGGCCAACTGATATATATATAAAAAATTAGCCGGGCATGGTGGCGCATGCCTGTAGTCCCAGCTACTCGGGAGGCTGAGGCAGAAGGATCACTCAAGCCCAGGAGTTTGAGGTTGCTGTGAGCTAGGCTGACGCCACGGCACTCACTCTAGCCTGGACAACAAAGTGAGACTCTGTCTCAAAAAAAAAAAAAAACCTGCCTGAGCAAGAGCGAGACCCTGTCTCTACCAAAAATAGAAAGAAATTAATTGGCCAACTAGCATTATTGCATTTTGCCTCCCAACTGGCCTACCTGCACTCCGCCCCCTTCTTCAATTACAGTCTGTTGTCCACACAGCAACCAGGGTAATCCTTCTGAAATGTTCTAGATCATGTCACTCCCCTGTCAAAACCCTTCATGGCTTCCCACTCTCTTGGTATAGGCCAGCATCTTAGGACGGCTCGCAACACCCCTGCCCCTGCCCTGCTTTACCTCTCTGACCGCACCTCCTTCCGCTCCCTCTTGTCGCGCGGAGCACATGCTCCTGCCTCTGCACTTGCCGGTCCCTCTGCTGGACCGCTCTTCTCTTGGGTGTCCTTATGGCCAAATCCCTCATGGAATTTATGTCTGCACTCAAATCCACTCTGGAAGTTGAGACTTTCCATGGTCCCCATATCTGAAATTTCAATGACATCCCCCTATCTGGACACTTCCTCTCCCCCATCCTAATTTATTTTTCTTTTTCGCACTTATCACTTAAGGTACACTCTTTGTTTTACTTGTCTAAATTATCATTTCTGAAAAAATTCCTGAGGGCACCAGCAAGATAGTAAGGAGATGGTCGTTACCTTTGGCGCTCGAAGCTTCACAGAATGGGTGGGTGGGGGAGCAGGGAAGGAAACTCTCCAAATTCCTCTGCAGGGTCCACAGTCAGTTGCATGCATTTGAAACCCGATCCCTTTAAGTTATCTTCTCAGATGTGAGTTAGGCCTTTACTATATTTTCATCCAATTGTCCAGAGAATAACGTGCACACACACACACACACACACACAGATACGCTCACACACCCCCTTCCAAAGGATCAGTATTCATTCTCAGAGATGGTACCATCTCTAAATCCAAACCTGAAAGAGAAAAATTATCCCAGCAGCCACAGTGAGAGCCCCCTGGCTGATACTTGCAGTTTGTTTGTCATATGATTACACAGAGTGTGTTAGTTCTTTTTGCACATTCTCTCTTTTCAAATTATCCCTTTTGGACCTGATGGAAATAAGAAAACTGGCCCATTGCTGATCTATATGCTACTTTTTTGCTCTGTTTTGTTTTCTTTTTTGGTGTGTGTGTGTGGTTTAACCATTTTAAGTGTACAATTTAGTAGCATTAATTACATCAATTACAATGTGTAACCATCACCACTATTTCCAAAACTTATCATCCCCAAAAAATATAGTATAATATATAACATATTTTGTATATTACATATAGTTTGACATATAACATTTTATATATAGTATAACATTTTAGTATATGTAGTATAATATATAACATTAATATTATATAATATATGACAGCTATAATAGTATAATCTTCTATTACACATGTAACAGAAA